ATGGAACAGAGGGCACAACCATCCTTTTGTGTTCTGTCCTCCGTCCTCCCAGAAGACCCAGATATCAAGCATTTAGCGTTAATGCATAGGGTGAATGACATTTTTTTAAACGGAAGTGAGTAAATAGAATTTAATACTCGATCTCGTAGATATATATAGAATTTTGTGAAAAGTTGTATTTGACGAAAATTTTATTTATGAGTTTGATGGAGGTTTATCATATTTTTCGAGATCCGCAGAAGGGACACATTTTCTTTCAATACATACTTTTTGTTAGGAATTTCATATCCAATATTAGCAATTTCATATAGAATTCTTCTGAAATGAAATGATATTAAGTTTACTTCTTGTTGTTTACACATTATAATCTGTTGGAGAATCGAACCACGTACACCCTCATGTCTTTTATAATTTGGATTCAGACAATAAAATTTCTATTGGGAAACACGTCCAAATTTTATGAGAGTATGCTTCTCCATATACAATTTGCTCGTAAACCGGCCCACATCATATTTAGTAAAAAGCTTTGAATACAGGTATAAATAGCATGCAATGAGTGTATGTTGTGGATAGTACCCTCATGAAAATAAAAATAAAAAACCAAACCCAATGTTTAGGCAAACAGGGAAGTAGTGAGAATTTAAATAAGTGGGTTAAATCTTAGGTAACCAGTTCGTGGAGCGAGAGCGGGAGCGAGAGCGAGAGCGCAAGAGCGTCTATTTTTCAAGAATCCAATATTGAAAGCGTTAAGAGAGCGTCAATATTATATTATTTATTAATATATATGTATATATATTAATTATGAGATTTTAGTAAATATTTTTTTAATCATTATCGACTACTACAAAATTAGCTTACGTGATTTGTTGACACCTTGGGACTACAAATTCAATCTCAGAATTAATTTGCAAGAACACCTATGCGGATATGCATTTTATATTGGCCGGAGAATAAGCACAGAACAATTAAATTTTCAGTTTTTCCTCAAAACCTATTAAATTTTTAATATTATAATAAAAAGCAAAAGAATCACAATCGTTCTCACTTAGTTATCATTTATTTACATTAAAAAAATGCAACTGCTTCTCCTTTTCGTTCAAAACAATGTCTCTCTCTACTCTTCGCATCTCTGTCGCCGTTACTATCAGCTTCATCCTCGCTTTCTCCGACGGCATTCGAGGAAGCGATGGATCTTTCAGGATTCAACTTCGAAATCAATTTCCAACTTCCAACTTCGTTCCTTATAGCCTCTTCTTCACCCTCCCTAATTCCTTCAGAAAAACAGAGGGAGAGACAAACAGAGTCTGGATTTTCGACCCGCAATGGCAACTCTGATATTTGCCCCTGCAGATTAATCAACTGCTAAATCCCAAAAAAATGCGATCTAGATCTTTCTGGCCCTTCAATGGATTGTAGATCAACAGTAACCGTCTTCGACTGGAGGAAGTATTTGTCTTCTCCTGGAAATTTTGTTGAGAAAGATTGGTTGTCGAGCATCATTTATAACAAACCGGGTGCGATCCGCGCACTTAATTGTAAAGTTCGCGCTCTGCTAATACAAAAATCGCGAATTTTATACGCATTATAGAGAATTCGCGTTTTTGCGAATTGGAGCGGGAACGCCGGGGTAGTTTAGGCGAATTAGGTAACCTAAGTTAAAACCTTGCCGATTAGTCGACTATTATATTTTTTAAATCTGTACGAAATAGGTGGTATGTTCTTGTGAATGAAGAAAACCAAAGATGAAAAGGTTGGGGGGAAAGTAGTGGGAGTTAATGGTTTGCTGTAGAGTAAAGCTACAACTTCCATTTCTTAATCGTTTGGCTTGTTCATGAGCCATCACCGATCCCCCAATATCACTTACCTAACTAATTACTAATTGGCCTTTCTCTTCTTACCATCTAAGGTATGGAATGGAATGGACCTCTCCACCTAATTTGGGGAAACCCTAATTCTTGGCATTCTATTTTATTATTCTATTTGGTAACGTGGATCTATCCATCGATGAAGTATTATTGCCTTCTCGAAGGTTCAGTTGCCACTTCAACCTCATCCTTCTCCTCCTCAAAAGTTTCAACTTTAGTGACAGCAAGTTAACAACCTAAATTATGTACATGAACTTTTCCATAGTGCCTTGTCATTTGCCGTGCAGCTATTACCTCAAAGTTGGAAGAAAATAAAATGCGAACACTTATTTTATAAGGGTAAAATAGTTTTTTTTTTATGATTACCTAATATTTAAAATATTTGAATCTGGAATCTCCAAATTCAATGCTAATGATATTACCACTAGATCAATTTCTTGTTCGTAATAAAATGCAAACACTTTTTTAGGAAAATTAAGCTTTATAGAACATGGTAAAGATTGTTGTCCAAAAATTATACAACCATCGAGTCGCAACTTAATTGACTGGTAGAACATGAGATTAACATGATGAGTTTTCTATCATCCTGATAAATAAAAAAAGGATTAATATATTCGTATGGCCTGAACTTTGACCAAAATAAACATCCTGGCCAATCTTTTTGATCTATAACATTCTGGCCTGAACTATACACCAAAATAAACAATTTGGCCAGATCCGACTTTTGACCGTTAACTTGGACAGTCAAACGCGTTGACCGTTAGTCAACGCGCCATGTCACTGCCAAGTCAACATAAAATATTTAAAATAATTCACAATTTCACACATTCCCTAATTTTAAATTATTATAAATTAAAAAAACATCTAATACCTTAGTTAAACCAAAAATGAAAAAATGAAAAAAAAAATAAATATTTATCAGATCTTCTGACTTGGCAGTGACGAGGCAGTGACGTGGCGAGTTGACCGTTAGTCAATGCATTTGACCGTCCAAGTTAACGGTCAAACATCGGGTTTGGCCAAATTGTTTATTTTGGTGTATAGTTCGGGCCAGGATGTTATAGATCGAAAAGATTGGTCAGGATGTTTATTTTGGTCAAAGTTCAGGCCATACGAAAATATTAATCCATAAAAAATGGTGGTAGCCGCTAGAATGGTGAACTTACTTTCCCTACTCCCATGAGTTTACAGAATATTAATGAGGTCAATATGGCTTTATGTGTAGTTGTGTCCCATATTTTGTCAAGTAAGACACTTCCGTAAGTTTTAAGTAATATATTTTAATAACGATTATACAATGATGTGACGTAATCTACTTTAACGTGTGGTCTAATAATAAAATCACGTTACAAGTAAGTTGTACATTTGATTAAACAATTACCTAATGTTAACTTCTCTTACACAAGTTATAATTTGTGTAATGCAAATTTAAGGGATATTGACCATAGTAGGTCTTAATAAAGTAATTCTAGTTAATAATAAGTGAGTTAAGTTAAAAAAAAAATTAAAACATTTGAGTAAATAGATTGTTGAGATCGTCAACCGTTTAGTTAATATTTTATGAATTTGCATTCATACTTATATCATGAAAGACTTACATAATATGTTTGCTTAATTGATATATAATAAATTACTATCTCTCCATAAAGTTTATGTGTTGTTTTAGTTGTTACGAAAGATTTATGTTGTATGTTTTGTTTAATTGGTACTGTTTGACCCATCTAGCTCCGGATCGAACAATAATGTTTGTTGGTGTTGGGTTGACTCACGATCCGTTCGTCCGATCTCGTCGGGAGGGAGAGAACCTGTGAAAGAGTCGGGGATGCCCCCCGGATTAAGCTCCGACGGTCAAGTTAGTGTAAGTTTATGGAGAGAGTTGAGAGAATCGATAGAGAGATGAAGTGTAGAGAGATAGTGGAAAGTGGAAAGTGGGGAGAGAGGGAAGAAGTCCCCCCTCCTTGGTGGGTTTCATACCTTTATATACTCGTAGCGGGTTTAGAGCGTCATACGTTGTCAATTGGACGCGGTATTCCTTAGTCTCTGCGGGGAGCCACTTAGCAACACCCCCAACAATTGTCCCCCAAGCTGGTGGTGAGTTTTAACTCATCACTAGCTTATATTTTATTTTTTTAAATCTTTGTCGGTAATTTTGGGTGGGGCCTATGTACCCCAGTTGCCCCCAGCTGGTGGCGCGTTTGAGTGACGCGGTGCCAGCTTCTTTCGTCTTGCCCCCCATTAGCGCCATTAACGCTTAGGATAGTAAAATATTTTAAAAATTTAATAATGATGGAGGGATAGAGTACTTAGCTTTATATTGGCAGTGGCGGCAGGAGTAGTTGAAAGGCAGGCGCTGCGCCATTGAAACAGAACCTGAGTGGGCCCTCAGTTTGGATTTCTCCTCGTCGGGGTTTTTAGCCCTCAATTTGGAGTCTTCGATGCTCGTATTGAAGTCTTATTTGTGTGCTTCGTTGAGACTTATTTGTGGCTCCTCGTCGGGGTTTTTAACCCTCAGTTTGGAGCCCTCCTCGTCGGGGTTTTTAACCCTCAGTTTGGAGTCTTCGATGCTCGTATTGAAGTCTTATTTGTGTGCTTCGTTGAGACTTATTTGTGGCTCCTCGTAGGGGTTTTTAGCCCTCAGTTTGGAGCCCTCCTCGTCGGGGTTTTTAACCCTCAGTTTGGAGTCTTCGATGCTCGTATTGAAGTCTTATTTGTGTGCTTCGTTGAGACTTATTTGTGGCTCCTCGTCGGGGTTTTTAACCCTCAGTTTGGAGCCCTCCTCGTCGGGGTTTTTAACCCTCAGTTTGGAGTCTTCGATGCTCGTATTGAAGTCTTATTTGTGTGCTTCGTTGAGACTTATTTGTGTCTCCTCGTCGGGGTTTTTAACCCTCAGTTTGGAGCCCTCCTTGTCGGGGTTTTTAACCCTCAGTTTGGAGTCTTCGAGGCAATGTGCCCTCTCCCTTAGCGCCATTAACGCTCATGAGAGTAAAATATTTCAATATTTGATAGTGAAAAAGGGGTAGAGTACTTAGCTTTCTATTGGCGAGGCGGCGCGAAGAGTTGTTAAAAGGCAGACGCTGCACCCTTGAAGCAGAAGGCTTGTATGTAGCCTACTGGTAATAGCGCTTGTGAGGTGGAGTGATGGCACGGGTTCGAGTCCTCGCGATGATGATGCTTTTTGACGCGAGTTGGTGATGGCGCGGGTTCATTAATATGAGAGTACTGCGCCCAAGGATCACCAAGCGCATCTGTATTCTGTTGGTGATATGGCTTGTCTGGCTGAAGAGTGAACGCGGGTTCGATTCCTCTTGGCGGCGACATTTTCGCTTTGGTGGTCTCAGCGCCTGTTTGTAGGCTTTGCGGACCATGTTCCGCGGGCTTGTTGTCGAGTTGTGGATTGCCCATCTTTGGTGAGTGGGCCGCGAGTTGGAGGAGCAGCGCGAGCAAAAGGGTCAAATAAACCTTCCGCGCTAATTTGACAACAATTGTCACGTAGTCCACTGGTTCCGTTTGCTTGCACACGAATGGTTGGTCAGCGGTTCGACGCTTGTCTACCACGCATCATTTTTGGGTGCCTCGCGCACGACTGAGCGGTGATGGGCCCATCTGGCGCGAGTGGGCCGGGTGACGTGAGCTGAAGGGTCGAGCGGGCCGCGAGTGGGTTTGAGGCGGAAGGTGGGACGCGAGTTGGGCCGCCTGCGAGTCGGGCCGCGAGTGTCGAGGCGGCGGAAGCTGAAGGCCGAAGCGGCTAGGGCAAAAGGAGGCTGCCGCCATAATAATACTAATAGTTTTTTTTTTTTTAGAGCAGTCGCGTTGTGCTGCTCAACCGGCGCTTCATTTGTCCATCTTGTCGCGAGACCGAGGCGCGACCTGAATGATTGCGGAAGCGGAGGGAGTGGCGGCGGGCTCTGGTGTGACGCAAGCGGGGAAGCGGGGGAGGGTCGATGGTTTGAAGCGCCGATTGTTGCTGAGGCGGAGCTCGCGGAAGAGAGCGACGGGGGAGATTTGGCGCGAACAAGCGCGACGGACTGAAGCAGAAATGGTTTGGCGCGGGCGCGCGGTGACCAGCAGAGGATCAGTAGCATGGGTCTTCCGAATTGAAGCGCGAACGGTTTGAATCGATCTCCGGAGTCTGTGAATTCGGCGGTGGTCCGCGCGTTGTCGGCGGAGAAGTGTAGGGTAGCGCGCTCAAGAGGACGATTTCGACGGAGATTTGTGGCATTGGCGGAGCAGAGCTCGCGGCGGAATTGAGGTGGCGATAGGTGGCGCGGCGAAGGAGGCGTCGTCGGCTAGTCGCGCGAGAGAGCCTCTTTTTTTCCAGGCTGGCGTCAACTTGTGCAATATTGTCTCGGGAAATACGCCTTTTCCTTCTGACAGAGAGAGAAACCTGCCTTGTCTTTTCACTCTTTCTAGACTGCAGGTCACCAACTGCAGGTCACCAACTGTAGCAAAGCAGTCTGACTCTTGTGAAGCAGGTCGTGATGGCGATTGAAGGGAGCTCCGACCCCGGCCCTGAACATGTCTCCGGCCAGCCAAGTCGCCGGGAACTAACCATTTTTTTTTATAGCTATCGAGTACTAGCTTGCTCCCCTCTCTTCCTAGGAGAAGAACTTCTCGATCTAGAACTTCCTTTTGCTTCGGCAGCGCAAGCGTCCGCGGCTAGTGAGAGTCGTATCCTTGCAAAAGCTCCTAAAACTTTCCCCTTTTTTTTTTGCTGATCGACAATCACCTTTCCCCTTGTTGATTGAAAATGGCATAGACATGTGGATTGTGGAGGTGCTTTTCCTCGCTTAGTCCCCAGGAAAAGAAGAATATAGAAATTGTAGCACTTTCTTTCGCTCGTCTGGCTCTTGTAGGATTCTGGCGCCTACCCTTGTTCGTGGCCGCTGAAGTGTGATTTTATTGGATCCTCCCTCAGAAATCAGAAGAACAATATCTGTAAGTCAGCCCCACGGTGGGCGCCAATTGTTTGACCCATCTAGCTCCGGATCGAACAATAATGTTTGTTGGTGTGGGGTTGACTCACGATCCGTTCGTCCGATCTCGTCGGGAGGGAGAGAACCTGTGAAAGAGTCGGGGATGCCCCCCGGATTAAGCTCCGACGGTCAAGTTAGTGTAAGTTTATGGAGAGAGTTGAGAGAATCGATAGAGAGATGAAGTGTAGAGAGATAGTGGAAAGTGGAAAGTGGGGAGAGAGGGAAGAAGTCCCCCCTCCTTGGTGGGTTTCATACCTTTATATACTCGTAGCGGGTTTAGAGCGTCATACGTTGTCAATTGGACGCGGTATTCCTTAGTCTCTGCGGGGAGCCACTTAGCAACACCCCCAACAGGTACATAAGGCGCTGCGGGAAAATTAGTCTTTGCCAGGCCAACACTATGTTTGCAACACTTATCAAAGGTGTTGCTTATAGTTCACAGTGGCAGAACTTTTTTTAAATGTTACTTAAAAGGTAGTTTATACAACATAAATAAGTCATCTCTTGAATTATGTCGCATTTGCTATATTAAAAGCAACGCTTATGACCCAAATCACTATCCCTCTTGTAAGATTTATATAATGTATTTGTAATTAACGTAATTGTTATAGAATGATGGTACGTATATATTTCGCAGTGTGTGGTCTAATAATAAAATTAAGTTATTGAAAATTTCATATTGAGATAGTTGTCTTAAGGGAAAAACTTTATGGTGAAGTTGCGTGTAGGAGATAGAAAGCAAAAAATAAAAAGGGCAATGTCTATTTTTTACCTAAACCTTTTTCAGATTCTTTTATTTTAACCAAACCTATTGAATTCCTAAAAATTATCCAAACGTTAACTCTCCGTCAACTTTTCTGTTTGTAATGTTGACTAAGTATGACCATAATGAGTTTAATTCCTACGTGGCGGTCAGAATATCATCATTTACTATTTTTAATAAAAAGATTATCAAAAAACAAAACAAAATATCACCTCTCACGTGGACGAAATAAGTAACGGTAACAGAATGAATGCCTAGACTTTGATAAATTATAATACGTTTAGATAATAAATAGAATTTCTATAGATTTGGTTAAAATAAAAGAATCTGAAAAAAGTTTGGGTAAAAAATAGACATTGCCCAAATAAAAATTATGATAAATTTGGGTGGCAAGTATAAAATAAATTAGATGAACAGTGAAAAGTAAAACATTCCAAGTACGGAGCTAGTTGTCTGAATGGAAAAATACTTACAGAGAAATTGTGTGAAGGAGATTGAAAAAAGAAAAAAAATTGCATAAACAAATGAATGGAAATAAATCTCATGATAAAATTGGGTGTAGTGTATAAAAATCTAGTAGTAAAACTGGATGTACAGTATTAAAAGTCTGGTGCACAGTGAAACGTATCACATTTAAAGTGCCGAGATATATGACTAAATGAACAAACCTTAAGTTAAAATTGGGTGAAAGAGATAGAAAACAAAAAAAAATCATAAACAAATGAGAGGATAAAAAGAGCTTATAGTAAAATTGTGTGTACAATATAAAAAAAAATAGGTGAACAGTGAAAAAGAGGAAAATTTTTTAATAATCTTTATAATTTTTAGTAAGTAATTGTAACACCTTAGGCAAATCCCACATCGACAAATCACGGGATAGATCCATGGTTCATTAGTAGGAAACCGACCTCAACTGACAAGACGCGTTTTGGGGTGGAATGGAGGAGTTCTCATGAGCAATGCAGTCAAAAGCGCGATTCTACCTAAAAGCGGAAAATGGGTAAAATCGAAAAGCTGCGAATCAAAGCGTAAAAGCGTAAGTTTTTTATGCATCATGTATAATAGTTAAAAATCTGTTAAGTACCACATATATTATGCAAAATATGAGTGCATGGAGTTTAGACAAGTGAATAAATACATGCAATTCATGTCCAAATTAAAGCAAATTCATAACATCTTAACAGTAAGTTCATAAACATAAACTGTAACCCACAAACGAGTTAATAACCAAATTCTCACAACATTAGCTTCACATTCTGCCCTTGGTTTCTCAAAGGTTCAATTAAAAACACCACATATACATAATTTAGCAGTAGCATACGTAGGTAATCCAGTAGGTTATACGCCTATTGGAAATTATAAGTAGAGTTTCCTTCATTTTGCTGGGTTAGTTTAAATTATTGAGAATGTGTGAGTTGTAATTTAGCTAGAAATACCTGCTAGGTTATATGTTCAGGGTGGACTAAGAGTTGAGAAGGGGAAGCATTTACCCACCATTTAGGAGTCATAGGTGAAGTGGCGACGGGGTAGGAGAAGATAGAGACAGAAACTAACATGGTGTGGCGCCAACGAGTGGCGACAGGCGACGACGAGTGCGACGGGTGCTGCCGTGTTGGAGCTATCGAGTGCGACGGGCTAGAGCTTCGCTGGAAGGTGGCGACGGCGGTTGCGGACTTGCAGCGGCGGCGAATACTTCACTGGAAGGTCGGCTGCGCGGCGCGGCAGATTGTGCTGGAGTGCTGGAGATGGAGGATTAGGGATCGCGGAAGAGTGGTTTGGCAACCTCAGCCTAATATCCACCCCCTTTCCCCCCTTTTTTCTGTTCGAAGTGATCAAAATGGCGTCATTTTTGTTTGGCGGAGACAATTTTCTCCTTTGATTGGAATCGGATAAAAACGATATGAAAGCGCGCTTTTATCCAATTTTAACGATTTTAACGATTCTACTAACGCTTATGACTGATTTTGAGTAAAATACGATTTTATTAGTGATTTGAAACGTTTTCCTACCCTAGAAACGTAAAATCGTACGATTTTACGCTTTAAAGCGTGATTTTGACTACACTGCTCATGAGAACTCCGAAGTTAAACGTGCTTAGTGTGGAGTACAACAAGGATGAGTGACCTTATGGGAAGTCACCTTGAATTGCACCCCAAGTCAAAAACTGTGAGGGTCGAAGCCCAAAGCTGACAATATCTTCGTCGGGAAAAGGTGCGGGATGTTACAGTAATAGTGATTTTAACTTGAAGATTTATATGCAATAAATTACAAATTACATGCACAATCTAAAGGCTATTGTTCACTCATCAAGGGTTATGGTAAGTATCAATGCGCCCAAAATCTGAATAATTCAATGTCTAGATAGAACTTTTTTACTATGAATATACGGTACACTAAATTTTACCCAAAGTACGATATAAGACGTCTATTTCCCCATAGTGTGTTTGCTATTATATGGGTTATCAGATTTGGAACACAACATATTTCGACCATGAAAAGTTGTAATATTTTTGCCTGACCAATATAAATTAATATAATTATTTCATGGTTTCTGAGTTATGGGCGTAGTGATGCATGGTTAGCGCACAAACAATCGGGACTTTTTATCAAGAAAAAAAAAACAGCCGAGGCTCTAGGTCTATCTATCGTAGAGCAGACCGCAGAGTAAAAGTTCTTTGATTATAAACAGTACCCCTAGTTATGTCTTTCGATTAGGAGGGGTGGCGTTAAGTGTTCCAATTAAATAGAAGTTTATGCTATTTTGCCGTATGGAACAGTAAATAAACTTTTCAATATAATTAATAAGTTGATATAATTATTTTATAGTTTCCGAGTTATGGGTGTAGCGATGCATGGATAGCCCACAAACAGCCGGGACTTTTGTCAAGAAAAAAAAAAGCCGGGACTCTAGGTCTATCTATCATAGAGCAGACCGCAGAGTAAAAGTTCTTTGATTATGAACAGTACCCGAGAGAAGTGTGCCGATTAGGAGGGATGGCTTTAAGTATTATAGAAGTTTATGCTATTTTGTGGTATGAAACAGTAAATAAACTTGCCAATTAATATAATTAATTAATTATTATTGTAGGGTCAAGAGGGGACCAGATCAGGTCAGTATCCTTACTATCAGTAACTATTAGTAATCCAATCATGTGTCCCCACGTGTCAGCTTTTTCTTTTTATTTAAATTAAACACCGAGGGGCACTAAGGTAAAAATGCACCCCCTATTTAATGATGTCTCTGACGCGCTGACGCTGACCAGATCACATCAGCGCCTTCTCTATCCTCAAACAACCTTTAATTTTCCTTCTCTTAATCTTTAACGGACGATTTCTCACTCGTTTTAAGTCGGAATTTAATTTTTTTTTTTGCACAGTTAGATCAGATTAATTGTGCTCTTCAAAATGATATCCACTTTGATATTTTCCAGACATAAAAAATTTTGACAGTTATTACCAGTCTATACCATATGGTAATGACTGGTATTGACCATACCATATGGTATGAAAAAATTTGTCACATCAATATATATTACGTTACCACCCAATACCATATGGTATAGTGTGGTAATATCAATATATATTTCGTTACCACCCAATACCATATGGTATAGTGTGGTAATATCAATATATTTCGTTACCACCCAATACCATATGGTATAGTGTGGTAATATCAATATATATTTCGTTACCACATAATACCATATGGTATAGTGTGGTAATATCACACAATACCATACAATACCATATGGTATAGTGTGGTAATATCAATATATAATTCGTTACCACACAATACCATACATTACCATATGGTATAGTGTGGTAATATCAATATATAATTCGTTACCACACAATACCATACATTACCATATGGTATAGTGTGGTAATATCAATATATATTTCGTTACCACCGAATACCATATGGTATAGAGTTATAATATCAATATATATTATCTAAAAAAAAAAAACAGAAGGAGGTAGAGAAAAATCGTCTTGTGTCGCCTCTCATTTCCTCTTCCGCAATCAAGAACACCAAAATGCCAAAAAAATGAGAAAGATCGAAATTGAGGCCAACGAGATGATGAAGAGAAGAAATGCAATGAAAAAGAGTGGCTCCAATTTTTATTCGTCATGTAAAAAAAATAAAGAAGAAGAGAAAGGAGCAGATTTAGATCTAGAAATGAGATTGAGAGAGAAAAAGGAAGAGAGAAAGAGAGAAGATCTGGAAAAGAGATTGGGAGAGAAAAAGGAAGAGAGAAGGAAGATAGAAAGTTGCAGAGAAGTGATTTATCTTTCCTTCTTTAAAAGTGCAGCCATTAAATACGAAATAAAATAAAATAAAAAATTTAATGTATAAACGGACAAAAATAACCTTCCCTACTCAGCGTCCGGCCCAACCATACGATTGCATGCCTCTTAGATCTATGGTCCCTATTCATTACTGACATGTCAGTAACCAAGTGGTTACTGACCCTATCTGCTGCCGATCAAGAGCATGACACTTGTTTTTTTCATATTCTGTAAGCGTGAGAAGGTTGCAAATGCAAAGAAAATGTCATATGGTAAAAATCTTGTGCATGCAATTTAAATCACTGGAAAGCACACGCATTGCACATCTCGTACTATTAGAGGAAATAATTTTCTGAATTGCTATTTATAGCCCTAACTTTTTCTTATTTATAGCCCTAAGAGAATATAATTACTATTTTACCCTTCCTTCCTTTTAAAATATTGAACTTGTTACAACTCCAACCAAACACTCCCTTCCCTCCCAATTCAACTCGCCGGATTCTTCCCAGATTCCTCCCAAATATTCTCGCCGGCGACGACGAGCTCTCGTCGGCGACGACGAGCTCTCGTCGGCGACGACGAGCTCTCGTCGGAGACGTGACTCGCCCCTTCTCTCCTGTCGTCGGTTTCCTCTCAAATACGACGACCACCTCTCCCCGAAGACGACGACCTCTCGCCGGAGACGAAATCAGAGCGCTTCGCGAAGGTAATTTTTAATTTTTGCACGAAGGAGGTAACGACCGGCCGTTTGACCGCCGCCGGCAAGGGCGACATCCTGCCCAGGCGTCGCCGACGACGGACGAACGTCCGGCAGGACGTCGCCCTCGCCGCCGGCGGTCAAACGGACGTTTGTCCGTCGCCGACGACGTCTGGGCAGGACGTCGCCCTCGCCGGCGGCAGTCAAATACATTTTTTTTTAATTTAGGTTAATTATCTATTATAATTATTATGATTTAATGTAGGTTAATTATATACTTTAAATTAATTTAAAAAATTACTTTATTATCTCCTTTAATTATGTAGGTTAATTATATGCTTTAATTATTATGATTTAATGTAGGTTAATTACTCTAATTATCTGTTTAAATTATGTATGTTAATTATCTGCTTTAAATATGTTAATATTTAATATATACGAAAATTATGTTGGTTAATGTTTTCATTTAATTGAAATTAGATAGGAAAGGTAAATTTTAATTGATAAATATAAGAAAGTTTAATAATTTAAATATAGAATTTTATTTCATAGTAAGTATTAATTGTTGTACGAACCTTAAATTGCAATTGACAATTTAAGCAAGAAAATTAAGTTAGAATTCATCGTGAAATACATTACAATTTTGAACATTATATTGTGATGGGAATTTTATTGTAATTGAAATTATATACGAATGTTAAATTATAATAGACAATTTAAGCAAGAAAATTAAGTTAGAATTTATTGTGAAATTCATTATAATTTCGAATATTATATTGTGATGATAATTTTATTGTAATTGAAATTATATACGAATGTTAAATTATAATAGACAAATATACGAACCTTGAACATTTGAATGTAAAAATTTATTATATGAGAACTAACAATTATCATAGGAACATTGCTAATATGAACATTGCTAATAACTATTACATGATGATAATAATCTGACAATAATTTTAATTCAAATTTTAATAGGTAGAAAATGGTGGATACAAGAGGAAAGAAGAAGTTGAAGGAGGTAGAGCCGTCGAGGGTGACCAACCGTATAGTATTGAGGTCGCGTCACGAGGAAGCCGAGAATGAGCGTCGACGTGCTAGACTTGTGGAGAATCCTTCTCCCCCGCCTCCCGTGCCTTTTGACTTATCGATTATGGGATGATGGTTTAGGGGCTCGCCGAATGGATTCATTCAAGTTGTCGACTAGAGCATTGGCAGTCAATTATTTGAAAGATTACAAATTTCAGAGTGAGGGTGCTGCAGCATTGGTTGAGAGGACAGGGTTGCGCAAGTTGTTGGACTGCTCGATCCAGCACTTGGACGGACCTTTACTTGTGGCATTTGGGGAGAGGTGGCAGCCTGACACCAACACCTTTCACATGCCTTTTGGAGAGATGACCATCACGCTCCACGACGTTGCAGTGTTGCTTGGGATTCCAGTCGGTGAAGATATGGTTGTAGGGAATGAGAGTGTGAAAGCACAGTTGTGTGAGATGCTGAGGGTCGAACAATTGAATGAACGATCCAAGCCTTCGCTTAAGAGTGGGGGTTTAGTGTGTGTTGAAGCTATGCAGCAGGTTGGGAGGTTTCGGGAAAGAGATTCTGAGGTACGGATGTTCTTGACCTGTTTGTTGGGGACCACCTTGTTTGTGGACAGGAGTGGGATCGGGCGCAGGTTTGGCCTCTCCAGTTCTTGGGGGACACTAGACGGGTGAGGAAATATTCTTGGGGGTCTGCTACACTCGCCTATTTGTATAGGCAACTCGGCATGGCGTCTCGAGCGGATTGCCAAAGGCATGGGTGGCTGTTTGACCCTCCTTCAGAGCTGGATCCTACGAGTACTTCCCGTGTTTACGAGATCAGAAGTTGGGGACACGTGGATTGGTGTGCGGGGAACCTTTTGCTAAGAAGTGGGAGGGGGTGAGAATTGGAGGTGGGGCACATTTGATGAATGAGAGGTTTGGATCACTATCGTCGAGTATTGGATAATATGACAGATGAGTTCGTTTTTTGGTGCCCATTCGGCCCCAGACCTGGTGAGATGGTCTCTCGTTCTTTGTACTCTGGTGTCATTCGGTGCATGAGTGTTGAGGAGATGTACGATCCCTCGCGTTGCCTCCGTCAGTTTGGGTACGTACAGACCATCCCCTCAGATCCGCTTTCCTTCCAGTTGATGTTTGCCGATCTGCGAATGTCAAGATGTACTCCTTGTCCTACGGTCCCGGCTTGAGTGAGCTTTGGAAGGCCCCTCACTGCCACTCGGTGCAGTTGGATTCGATATCGAGACCTGTTCAAAAACCGGAAGATACCGAGGATGGGTATCTACAGTGGTATATGGGACGTACCCACCCGAGGATCGTCTGCCCCAGTGCTGCTGACCAGGAGATACACCACCATCTTAGTCATGATCAGGTAAGTTTAATTATGTTATTGATATTGTTATTCTGTACAAGTTTAAATATTGCATTAGTTATCGAATAACATACTAACATTTACATTTTTATACAGTAGCTGTGAAGCTCGTCCGAGAGTTTCGCACTGTGATTGAGCACCCTTATGATGACCACCTTGATCTTCTTCTTGGATTACAAGGGTTGCTTAAAGAGTACGACGAGGCGACTCCATACCAGCCTCCACCTCAGTACTAGTGTTGTTCATGTAGTTTGAGTACTATGTAGTTTATTTCTATTTGGAGAACTATGTCGTTAATTTGGTGTTTGAGAACTATGTCGTTAATTTGGTGTTTGAGAACTATGTCGTTTATTTCTAGTTTGAGAACTAAATCGTTTATTTGTTGTTGGAGGACTATGTCGTTTATTTGTAGTTTGAGAACTATGTTGCTTATTTGTTGTTTGAGTACTAGTGTCGTTCATTTGATACTTTATTTGTATGTTTAGAACTATGGTAGTTTTAATTTAAAACTATGTTTACCAAAGACTACAAATATAAAGATAACATGAGTTACAAAATACTCCTTATTTACAACTATTGTCGTTATATACCAATACTACTACAAATATCTCCTACTAGTCATGATGACCCCAAGTGCGAAGTAAAGATCTCGCTCGTCCTTGAACAACTCCTCCCACCCTTGAGTACTCATTTTGTCACGGAAATGGGTCCACAGGAAGGTGAATGGAGGCATTGGTATTGAATCCTCCTCAAAGTCAAGGCGCACCCAATGGTTGCCGGTGTTACACAACACCAACACATGCTAGGGCGAGCTACCCCTGGCTTGGCTATCATAGGTAAAAAGGTTTGTCCAAATGGAACACGTCTCCTCACCCCATCTTTGGTTTCGTCTATTTGACTGTAGAGGATTATGGCCCAGTTAAATAATGTTGCAACTACGGCGAGATCCGACTCAGTCATCCAATGATCCATTGTAGTACCCTCTGGCTTGTTCCACTGTAATCGTGTAAGAGCAAGACCCACATCTTCATATGCGTACTCACATTGTTGGATCGACATGACTTCATCTATAATAGCCTTTCTCACCCACAAGTGGTGATCCTCATCTCCATAAAGTGCATGTGAAAGAGCTCGAAATCCGCAATGTCCATCAGGAGCAGGGTCCCACCAACCAAGACATCGATCTCTGACACTTTCTGGGACGAAGCGAAAGTAAGGAAAAACATTCACTCCATCAATCTTGGTCATGGGATCCCTTTTCGGGCCACCTGTGGATGTAGTTTTGTTTAGTTATCTTATTGGCATATTAAACATACTTATTGAATATCAATGAATTTAACAAAAACAACTCAAATTATTCAATACAAACCTGTAACATCTGAGGTTGTTGCTTTTCTCTTTTTATGGATGGTAGCATCCTTCGGGGCACCTGTTAGTGAAAATTTTGTTGTAATTAGCTTATTGGCATATTAAACATATTTATTGAATATCAATGAATTTAACAAAACAACTCAAATTATTCAATACAAACATGTATCATCTGAGGTTGTTGCTTTTCTCTTTTTGTGGATGGTAGCATCCTTCGGGCCACCTGTTAGTGAAAATTTTGTTGTAATTAGCTTATTGGCATATTAAACATACTTATTGAATATCAATGAATTTAACAAAACAACTCAAATTATTCAATACAAACCTGTAACATCTGAGGTTGATGTCTTACTCCTTGTGCTCCTTCTACCTTGACGTGCGGGCAGCGTGCTCATGCCAAGAAGGATCACGAGCGTTTTCCCTTTTAGGTGGACGACCTTTTGCCTTCGTAGACACTCGTGGCTCCCTAAGGCCTTCCTCTTCGGGGTAAAGCTGACTCATTAATGCAACCTTGGCTGCTCGAACTGCAGATGGACCACGTCTACACACCTCAGCCACTAGATCATGAAAAATCTGAAGATCATTGGCGTCATTGTCTTCGAACCGTCTTGCATCATGAGGGTTAGCATAGTCCAAAGTAGACCAGAATGGTGCCAAGTGTGTTATCTGAAAATGGTCTCCCGCTCCTTTAAAGGAGTTGATTCGACAACTGCATGGGAGCCCATGTGTCCTCCCAATCACACAATCACATTCCGAAGGAGTCTTCTTTCCCTCTACAAACATCAACTCAAGCGCATATAGGCTTACACTTCCCCTTATAACGCCGTAGGGTGGTCCATAGGCTCCTTTGAATGTCTTTGTTCGACATGTCTCTAGCTCTTTCCTAATTTCGATCACTTGCCCCCCAATGCTAGCATGCCATGATAAAAATAATGTATCAACTCCCCCAGTCGAAGTGTTTAACCAAGCTTTAAGAGTCGAGTGAGCCGATTCAACCCTATTCGTACTTGTGTTACCAATATGAAAAATATTGTTAGTGTAAGCACAAGCCCACTTCTCTTTATGCTCCAAGCACTCACGATCCAAGTATTCTATCAACTTACTATTCCTCCCCCAAAATCCATTTTTGAAATTTTCCCATTCCTCAATCATGGCATGTGGCGTGGTGGCTTCCATCACCTTCTTCCAAGAACCATGTACCACTCCTCGAGCAACTTCTTGTGGTATCCCCAAATCCATCATCTTAGCTTCAATGTTCCGCTTTATGTGCCATATACACAACAAGTGGGCCGATTTCGTGAAGACCTGAGGGATAGCGGCAACCAATCCTCCCTCCTTGTCAGTTAGAATTGCATTCGGTATGCGATCTCCAAGCATGTTCTGTAACTCTCTCAAAAGCCAAACATAAGAATCTGTGGTTTCCCCCTCCATCATAGCAAATCCAATGTTGAAGTTCCTCTTGACGGGGGTAACACCAATAACCTCAACCAGGGGCCTCTTATATTTGTTCGTCTTGTATGTGGAATCAATCAAGATTACATGGTACCAAGCACTCAACATCCGAACGGACTCAGGGTGAGCAAGAAAAAGGTGAGTAAGGTGGCGATCATCATCACGCTTGTAGCCAATGTAGTACCCCATCTCTCTCGCATGGTGTAACGTCCAATCCGAAGGGGTCATGCCACTCAATCTCTCAATCCTTATATTTGCTGTCATGTTGTAAAATTGTCGTTTGTTATGGTGAGTACCATAGTTTTGGTTGATAGTTTGCATCATTTTTCGAGGAGCAACACGAGCCCATTCCATCTCCTTCATATCCTTTAGCTCTTCATTAGTAAAAGCATTCCTCTGAGTGTGGCCTTCGGGATAAAGCTCTAATGCATGGTTGTGAAACCCACAAAATTGTCCCGGATTGTGATTGTCCTTCACACCATCAATCATCCAAGTCTTTTCCTCCGGGAGTCCCACCAGTCTCACTCGAAAACGACAACCATCTTTAAGTGACTTTGTGTTGGATCGTCCTTTCTTATCCGGATCTGGGACATATGTATTGTTCTTATATCCACGATGGCAGTGAAGATATATTCGGGGGTACTTCTCGCCATCATTTGATTTGGTTGATGAATGTGTCAAAAAGAACCCAAGATCTTTTGCAATCACTTTCGCACCTTCCATAGCTTCATTCCATGACTTATATCTTGTATTTGTTATGAAAAATTGAGTATAATCAACTTTGTCTCCTTTATCTTCCGGATCTCCCTAAAATAAACACATTTATCTTATTAGTGATACTAATTTTGAAATGTTTGTTGTAGATTAAATTATTCCAATTTGATATAGATTGAGTCTTACATAAGTTTCAACACTTTTCATGACTTGTAATGTTTGTTGTAAATTGAATTCTTACAATTTGAAAATGGATTGAGTCTTATATAAGTTTTAGAAAATTTGATGACTTGTTTGCAATATTAGATTTTATATTTATCTTCTTATTAAAAAATATTAAACAAGTTATTAACAATTATTCAATATTCGAACATAAACTAATCCAATACATTTCAACAAAAAATTAGCACATTTAGCATGATTAACTACCAAATCCTAATATTTCAATATGCAATAAAAAGTTTTTAACAAGTAGACACGTACTCATTAAATTATCAACAACACAACGTTGTTAACAATTATTCAATATTTGAACATTAACTAATCCAATACATTTTCAATAAAAAATTAGCACATTTAACATGATTAACTACCAAATCCTAATATTTCAACATGCAACAAGTAGACACGTACTAATTAAATTATCAACAAGATAGTAAAATCAATAATTCAACATTTTTTTCTACCCAAAAAAAAAATAATAATAATTCAACATTTTTCAAACAATATGTATCATTGTAAAGCAAATATTTAAGCATATTATCAATTACTAGACTTCATCATAACAATAAATAATTCAACATGATTCCAAAATTAAAAAGTTTAACTCACTAACCGTGTTACTCATTATCTGATGTAGTGATATCCGGAAGTCCGAACTTGACCAACTTCAAGAAATACATAAAAAAAAAATAGTTTCAGTAATACTAACATAGTTTCAAAATATAAAAAAATGAAATTCAAGAAATTCATTCTAAAAATAATATTATAGCAAATCCATCCTAAAAAATATGATAATTACAATATCATAAAATAATAAACTACAATAAAATCGCTAAATATTCTTCAAAGTCTAAATTATTGTTAGTAAACATTAACTTAGTTTCAAAATAATAAAAAATGAAGTTAAAGAACTTCATTCTACAAATAATATTATAAAAAATCCTACTAAAAATATGGTAATTACAATATTCATAAAATAATAAATTACAATAATAAAAACACTACATATTCTTAAAATATGGCAATTAAAATTCTAAATTCTTAACTTAGTTTCGAAATATGAAAAATAAAAATTCAATAACTTCATTTTAAAAATAATATTAGAACAAATTTTTCTAAACAATATGATAATTAAAAAATCTAAAATAATAACCGAAAATCTAAAATAATATATTTTAAAAATCTAATATACTTCACAAATTTAAATTAACAAAAAATTAAAAAAAAAAAATCGGCGACGTCCCGGCAGGACGTTCGTCCGTCGCCGGCGACGTCCCGGCAGGACGTTCGTCCGTCGCCGGCGACGTCCCGGCAGGACGTTCGTCCGTCGCCGGCGACGTCCCGGCCGCACGTTCGTCCGTCGCCGGCGACGTCCCGGCCGCACGTTCGTCCGTCGTTTTCGGGTTATTTGCCGACGTACCTCGTCGGAGAAAGGAGCTGTCGTCGTCGGAGGTGGCGGTCGCCGGCGGGGGTGGCGGTCGCCGGCGGGAGGTGGCGCGGTCGCCGGCGGGAGGTGACGGTCGCCGGCGGGAGGTGGCGGTCGCCGGCGGCGAGTGTTGTTGGATTGTGTTTGGAAAAGTGTTTGAATGTTTTGGTCTTGGAATGTGTGAAGTAAATGTATTTAAATGTTATGGGTATTATTGTACTTTTTATAATTTAGGGCTACAAATAAAAATAATTTAGGGCTACAAATAGTACGACCCATAAAAAAAAGTCTTCCTAGCCATCAAATGGGCAACTCAATTGGTTTGTCTGCCAATAAAATTCACTATCATCCGTCGAAATTGTTGTTGAAGAACCCCAATCTATTCCAGAATCACTCCACCGCGCGAATATTCCTTGTCCTAATCTTAATAATAATGCTTTCGTATCACCATAGAGTGCCACCTCAGAAAGGCCCTTCAAAGAGCACCACTGGATGGCATCCCAGAACCCCATCAACTCGACTAGGAACGGATTTGCAAGATCTGCATACTGAAACCCCTGCACAAAAATCACACTTCCTTCCCGATCCTTAACCACTAATCTTCCCACTGCATGAGAGCCCACCCTGACTGCTCCATCAATAAAGTAAGTCAAGTTCAACCTTTTCTCTCGCCATGGTAGTCAAAATCTCGATTTAAATTCTAAAATCTTACCATTTTACTTACCTATTCTGATCCTGATTTCACTATAAAATCTATGGACTTTAAAATCCTACACTATTCATGATTTAAATCTATAAATTGTTACGATTCAAATCTCTGGGTCAATATTACTTATTTTTCCCAGAATTTGTAAAATTACGCCTCTTCTCCTTCTCCTCCGCCAATATCATCCAGTTCTCTCATACTAACCACCATCGACCATCATTTATTTACATCAACGTATTAATCATCATCCATTGACCACTTTCCAGCATTAACCTTGTTAAATTGGAACATTAAGCTTGAGAAGTTATCATTAATTATTATTGTAAGTGTTATGTTTTTTTGTATTATTTATGATTTCTTTGTTAATATTATTTCGTGTTTGTTTTTATATGGACATTAAAATCCTAAAATTTCATGATTCGATTTTACGATATGATTTTACCCTTATTTTCAATTTTACGTAAAATTCTGATTTTACCAACTATGTCCCTCGCTGCTACCCCTCTGGTACAAGTGCCACTACTAATGCTGCTCCACATTGGTTGGAATGGAAAGCCATTCCTCTACTTGAACCTGGTACTGCCTAACCAAAACAGGGAGATTATATTGAATATGATCAAACACTACCTAGTTTTTAGATTTCCATATTCCCCATAGTAAGGCAACCAAATGCATAATACGATCCCATCCCATAGACTCACCACCCCTCTGCAAGTCAAAAACAAATGTTCCGGCGACTCCACGGACACCCAACAAACTGGGCATGTCGTTAGGCACACACATCCTTTCTCCCTAAGAGTTTCCATTGTTGGTAGTACCCTTAGGATCAATTACTAGAGGAAGAAGTTAAGGTTCGGCGTGATATGAAATCCCACATTCTCTTGCAAAAAGCCATATCAAAGAAAGAGAACTCAGCTATCCACCGCTCTCGGCTTCGACTAATCTGCAGCGCCAAGTGATATCCTGTTTCGACCAAAATACTCCTGATTAATTGTTCTCCCTGCCATATCAATTCATATAGGAAACATCAGCAAAGGGACAGTCGCAATACGCTTCACAATCTCCTCAGAAAACAGTGACGCAACAAAACTGAACACCAAGCTCCCGTATCGCTACAGTTAGTCCCTCCACTATATGCCCAGCCTATAGCGATGCATTCCCCACCAAAGAACTCCCATTGCGTTTGATTTTAGGAATCCAAGCTTCCTCCAGAATTCGAACATTTGACCTAATACCCACTTGCCATACCACCCCTTGTGCAAAGACGTTCCTACTCCCTACCATGCATGCAAAATACTTTGTCAACCCCAAGATGGCCGAGACCCACTTTTAGCTTGCAAAATATGGGATCAAGGGAAGTACTTTCCCTTCAATATTCGAGACAATAACAATTTTGGTTCTTCCATTACCCGACAAGCTATAGCTTTGCAAGCGATGCTTGATTAAACTCATCAAATCGTCTAAATGCCAAACCCCCATCGAACTTACTACAACATAAATTTCTCTAAGACGCCCAATGAGCCTTATCCCCTTCAGCTGAAAAACCACCACCAAAAGCGAGCCATGTGCGTATTCAGCTTATGACAAAGAGTAAGAGGTAACAAAAAACATGACATGACTTGTATAGGCAATACCGATGCAACTGATTTTAGGAGTATTTCCTTTGCTGCTAGGATAATGTCGTTGTTTCCACCCTAAAGTTTATTCAAAAGCTTATCTTCCAAATAGCAAAAAGTATCAGTCAGTTAGATGGTTAAGCCAAAATGACACAAAAAGAAATAAAAAGCCGAAGTAGTGGAATTTGAGGATTTTGTTACACCG